TCGAAGTCCAGGGCAACATAACATTGTTCCTCCTTGATGTCACGTGCAATTTCCCGCTCAGCCGTGGTGGTGAAGCTGCAGCCTCGCTCGGTGAGGATCTTCATGAGGTAGTCCGTCAGGTCCCAGCCAGCCAGGTCCAGATGCAGGATGGCGTTGGGGAGGGCATACCCCTCATAGACGGGCACAGTGCGGGTGACCCTGTAGCTGGAATCAATCACGATGCCGGTGGTCTGGCCAGAGGCCTGCAGGACAGCACGGCCTGGATGGCGACGTACACGGCAGGGGTGGTGAAGGTCTCAAGCATGATCTGGGTCATCTTCTCCCGGTTAGCCTTGGGGTTCAGAGGGACCTCCGTCAGCAGCACTGGGTGCTCTTCGGGGACCTCATGCAGCTCATTGTAGAAGGTGTGGTGCCAGATCATCTCCATGTCATCCCAGTTGGTGACAATGCCGTGCTCGATGGGGTACTTGAGGGTCAGGATGCCTCTCTTGCTCTGGGCTTCGTCCCCCACGTAGGAGTCCTTCTGGCCCATGCCCACCATCATGCCCTGGTGCCAAAGGCACCCCAACACCGAGGGGAAGACAGCCCGGGAGGCGTCGTCGCCCTCCTTGCACATGCCGGAGCCGTTGTCGACCACGAGCGCAGCGATGTTGTCATCCACGGTGAGCTGGGGGTGGTACGTGTGAACCTGCGACAGTGACTGTGCTCCGGGGCTGATGAGGTGTCGGCTCGTGACTGCACTTCTAACCCAAAAGCACTGCCTCTCTACTGTTCAAATTCACCATCAGCTTCATGGCCGAAAACAGGCATTCTCCTGTGTGATTTACAGCCTATCAAAATCTGCTAGAGAATCAGCTAGGAGTTGGTTTTTTACTGTTTGGCAATGATAACACTTGACTACTAGCCAATTGGTTGGCTGTTTCAGCTCACCCAGACGCATCTTGGATGACAAACCTGGAGATCCGCTTCTGAAAGGTCTTAATAATTCTGTGGACAACTGAATACTACTCAGCATGCAGGAATAGTGATTTGGTAAATTATTATCTAACTTGGGAGGGACTGGAGAGCATTATGCTGAGGGAACTAACCCAGCCACACAAGGATAAATATTGCATAAAACCATTATTGTAGAATGAGTATGAGGATCCAAAGTAGGGTGGGGGGGGTTGGAAGCAGAGGATGAGGATGTGCAGGGGGAGTGGGAATTAATCATGGAGTTGTACAATTTGATGGAGAGGTGAGGGAAATTGGAAGAATCTTATCTGGAAATCAATGTATTCAAATTTGGCATATAAACTGGCATTTTTTTTTAAAAATCCTGTGGAAAAACTTTATCTTGTGCACACAGAGATGCCACAAGTCAGAAGTGACTTAACAGCAACTAATAACATCATCATTATATTGACCCTTTTCCACATAGTACTTATCTAAAGTGAAAATTGCTGCAAACTATTAAGAATAATGTATAAATATTTATCAGAGGTCCTTGAAAAGGGAAGCTTGATCACTCATGGTTGGTGTTTTACAATTCTCGTTATAAAACCTAATCCTGAAGGAATAAGAAAAGTGAAGAAAATTATATTCAAGAGTGGCTTCTGGCCCATGCTCACCATCAAACCCTGGTGCCAAGGCCACCCCAGGATGGAGGGGAAGACAGCCCGGCGGGGGGTGTCGGTGTCGGCGAAGCCAGAGCCACTGTTGACCATGAGCGGAGCGATGTCATCATCCATGGTGAGCTGGGGGGTGGCGGGTGTGAACCGGCGGCGGTGACTGTGCAGAGGGGCCTGTGCTCCAGGGTGGACGACATCTCTCTCAGCTGTAGTGTTTATCTTTTTAAAAAGTGAAAACCTAAATAAAAATTTATCACACCAAATGTAGCATGTGATTCTTAATGTAATATTTGGTATCTAGTATGATAATACATTAAAGTTTCAGAAAAATTAGTTTCAAGAATGTTATTTCAAAATATTCCATTTGGAATTGTAAAGAATGGAGTGTAAGTGTGATGTTTCTTATCACGTAGGTTCTCATTTGTGCTGATATTACACAGTCTCAGTATATAAAACGTTCAGTGTTTGGATGGCATGAAGCTCTGGGTGTGTATTTAAGTAAACATGTGAGAAAGACTTGCTATTTAAATAGTTGAGAAACTGCATTTAGAATTAACTTTGTCTCCAAACAGTTTAAAAACATAATTATGAGACATTGACATTGGGGAAAGAGGAATAGAGAATGATTTATTTCCTTAACTGGATTTCATTAAATGTGACTATTTACTCGCCTTGTCCATTTGTGATGGACTGACTTCTTAGTTTTCATTAGTTAACTCATAAAAAGATCTTCCCTTCTAGACCTGCAGTTGTACATGTCTTTTTTTTTATATTATCTTGGTGATAAAATATTATTTATTTTTATAAAGACAAAATTAATGAAACTTTATTCTAAGTCATACTCAACTCATCAGAAAATAACAAGAACAACAACAGAATTCACACACACAAACACACACAGACCACTCACGTGCTCCAATCAAGACACTAGCCCCTGACCACATACATTCAATCACAGATCAAATTCCTACATGGTTCAAAGTCATTTTTCTCCTCTATGATATGCAACTAGGTCTAGAGCTCTGGTTCTAATAAGAGTCAGGGTAGAGTTATAAAGAGGTAAGAGGAACTGAGAATATGCCACTGTTAAAATGGCAGGCAGTGATTAGATAAGATGGGATGAATAGATGACCACAACAAAGTCCATTTACTACTCTGAAACAATTATCCATGCTTTGGTCTTCCAGGAGTACGATTGAAACAAGAAAGATTAAAAAAATCACATTAGCTATGTCTAAGATGACACAACCCTGCTCGCTGAAACTGAGGAGGACCTCATGCACTTACTGCAGAGGGTCAAGGAATGCAGCCTTCAATATGGACTGAGGCTCAATGTCAAGAAGACAAAAATTCTCACCACTGGACCAATCGGTAGCATTAGGATGGATGG